ACACTACAATCTCACGTTAAGTTTACTAATTTGTAATGAGATTTTGTAGTTGAGGACGTAGATTGTAGTTGAGGACGTAGATTGTAGTTGAGGACGCAGATTGTAGTTGAGGTAGTTTTTTAGTGAGGACGTTCCATCGCAGTAGAATGTACACATGTAAAGGAGGTACGACGCATGGGGGGAAAAAAGCATGAAAAAATTGAGAAAAGCAGGCACAGAAAGAGGTGAACGTAGCCCAACGTGTTGCTGTTATGTATGCTGTGTATGTTATCCATACACAAGTATCTATTAGCAATATGTAGTGTACATGAACATGTTGTTCTGCACACGTCACTGGAATGTGTTTTTAGAACATATGTGTTGGGGCAGCACATTCCTGGCTGTTTATGAGAAGAGAGCTGCTTGTTTTTTACTGTAAACCTTTCACACAGACTGAGGAGAATCTCTGTGTTATCTCCCATTCACTGAAATTCCACCTCCCCCACCATCGTCATATCTATTAGATGACTGTTTTCTCTAGCCTGACCGGATTCAAAAAGTGCCCTCCCCCCTGCTCATCCCTTTTGGTATTGTCGTCTGAGATCTCCTTTAGCTGGAAAGTCAGACAGCTGTTGATACGGATAGGTGGGAGTGCCGGGGGTGTGTTCCTAGCTGACCTCTGATTGGTCAGAGTTATCACTCGCGGTCCTATAAGTGCCCTCACAGGTAGGGGACCGTCCTATAGTGAGCGTGGAACAAATCAAAGTGTTATCGGAGCGCATGCCATCGGCCAGAGATCGGGTAAGTGAATGGCACCTGATGGGAGTCATTGTAGATTATATTTTTCACAATATTCTTTTTAAGAAAAAAATATTCTTATTTTTTTATTATTTTTGTTTACACACCTTTTAAGCAGATGTGCTCCTCAATCTAAATATTGCATGGATTTATATTGTGCATTTTTTATTGACAGAAGGGGTCCATGAATGACAGTGAGGTTTATATGGGAGATGAGAGTCAAGTATTACCCATAAGGATCATATCACACTAGGAACTTTGTAGAAGCTCCAGATCTCTGTTTATTTTCCCTGATGATTTGTAGCTGGCTACAAAGCTGCTACAGTACTCCAAATTACAAATTATTGGATAACACAAGCAGCAACTGTAGCTAACTCCAAATCGATTGGAACTTCTGCAAAACAGATCTGTCATTGACCGCAGTTTATGGTTTCCTAGTAACAAAAACGCTAAGGAAGGAAATCACCAGCGTGGCATGGGCCTAATTCTGGCCAAAGACATCCCTGTACAGACACACATGGCAAAATCCAAGCCACTCGTGATGCCTTTGGGCTAGGCTCTCCCATACACTATTCTAGAGCAAGGTGCGGGAGCCACACCAGCCTATCTCTATGCTGACCGGGCCAGGTTTTCTAACCTAAAACACAAAAAATAAAAATATAAAAGGATTCAAGGACCACCCTATAATGTGAAATCCTTTCATTCAGAAATTGTATACAAAATATGTGGCAATATAATCCTACAAACAACTCTCCTGATAAAAACAATGACCGTTATCATTGTTCAACACCACAGCTACTGCTCCATACACACGTCAATCACCACAAGCCGGTACTGGTTAGTATTGAACCATGAGGACATGACAGTCGAATGTTGTTTTGCATGTCATCCGTAAGATTTGCTACTTCATACAGCAAATGCCACAACAGTCCTTATATAACTGAGCAATAAACTGTAATGCATTCCTGTCAGGTGAAAGTCAATCACTGCACTCAAACTTCTGAACAGTAATGCATATCTTCTCAATGCAAAACAGGTTTTCTAACCTGTCCGATCAATCTGTCCCCAATAACAGTCTTTTGAAGCTGTTGTACACTGCCGCATAGACAGTATCATATCATCTCCCAGTCTGGGCAAAGTGGCTGAACTGGAGTTGTCATCTAATGTCTACAGCAGAGGTGGGCAAATGTCAGCCCTCCAACTGTGGTGAAACAAATGCCATTATGCATCTGTCTCTGGGTGTCATGCCTGTGCCTGTGAGAATCTAGCAATGCTTCATGGGATTTGTAGTTCCACAACAGCTGGAGGGCCCCAGAGTTTGTCCACCCCTGCTCTATAGACACTGAAAGCAACACATCTGGGGAGCAGTGATTTACGGGGTGTTATCAATAGTGACTGTTATGTCAGGCTCTGAAGCAGTTTGAGATGGAGGAAATTTTGTATACAAAATAGTTACCATATTCTAAAAGCTAACACACATTGAGGGGAATTTATCAAAACTGGAGCAGGCAGAGTCTAGAGCAGATGCCCATAGTAACTAATCAGCTTCTATTCATTTTCAAAGCTTAACTGAACAAACTGAAGGGAGAAGCTGATTAGTTACTATGAACAACTGCTCCGGATTTGATACATTCTCCCCAATGAATATAAGCATATTATCAGCAGCAGCAGGTATGAACATTAATTATATCTATGCTGTATGCCCAGCATAAGAGTGAGAGTAATACAAGCTCACAAGTACGTCCATGTGTGTAAACTAAACTGTTATTTGGGTCCAATATAGAGCTCAGGGATATGCTGTGTTAATATAAGACAAGAACCATATTATTTTCCACTAATTCTACTGACTTGTAAATCAGTTATGCGACAATCTGCCTTTATTAACTGGTACATTGATACCCATGTCAAAGTTTTATAGACAGATCCAGAAATTTCCAGTCCACTCTGGTTCACTTGTACGTAAAGGACAGTTTCTTGGATACCGAGACCTTTGTAGGAGAGCAGAGTTCCCAGGATTCTCCTTCCCAGGCACAGAATGCAAGTGTAATCAGTATGCGCAGTGGCTACAAGAGAGGCTACCGCTTGCTGAACATGTAAGTCCATAAAGTAGTTGTTATTTAATGCTTTCCTAAATGGAATATAATAGATTGTGGATGTATCAGTGTACAATTACATCTCTTTTATAAGATATGTTCATTTTATGTTCAGGAACACTGAAAAACAGAGCAAAAGTTGTTTTTTTTAATGCCTAATTAATGTTCATACCTGCTGCTGCTGATAATATGCTTATATTCATTGGGGAGAATGTATCAAATCTGGAGCAGTTGCTCATAGTAACTAATCAGCTTCTCCCTTCAGTTTGTTCAGTTAAGCTTTGAAAATGAATAGAAGCTGATTAGTTACTATGGGCATCTGCTCTAGACTCTGCCTGCTCCAGTTTTGATAAATTCCCCTCAATGTGTGTTAGCTTTTAGAATATGGTAACTATTTTGTATACAAAATTTCCTCCATCTCAAACTGCTTCAGAGCCTGACATAACAGTCACTATTGATAACACCCTGTAAATCACTGCTCCCCAGATGTGTTGCTTTCAGTGTCTATAGAGCAGGGGTGGACAAACTCTGGGGCCCTCCAGCTGTTGTGGAACTACAAATCCCATGAAGCATTGCTAGATTCTCACACAACTGATTCACATTGAATATTTTGAGACACACCCCTTCACTGAATGTTTTATTAATTATTAATTATTATTTTTCAATAGCACTTGTTAAAGCCTGACCTCAACGACAGAGTTGCAATAATTTTTCATCCAAGTTGTAGTGATGATGGGACAGTCGGACCAGTGTGTAAAGCACACTGGTCCGACTGTGCCACTTTCCCACTGGCACATCCTGAAGATTTTCAAGGATTCCTTCCCCCCCATCCCTTCAACTGATTGCTAGTTTACTTCAGTAGAATGAAGGTTGTATATTGGCCCCCTGGACATCTGTCGGGCCATAAGGTCATGCCTAGATTGCGGGTAATAAAGCTCTGTCTCCTACCTTAGAGGGACAGCAGTCAGAGAGAAAATTTAAAGCATTTGACCTGAAGACCTACTTCAGCAGAATGAAGGTTGTATATTGGCCCCCTGAACATCTGTCGGGCCATAAGGTCATGCCTAGTTTGCGGACAATAAAGCTCTGTCTCCTACCTTAGAGGGACAGCAGTCAGAGAGAAAATTAAAAGCATTTCCGAACCACCTATACGTCTGATGAGATTGGCAAATGGCTGGTTTGGGCAAATCTCATGTCCATATATACCCTAAATTGAATCAGCGTAGAAAAGATCAAGATAACCATTTGTTTCAGTACACGCAGCATATGTGTTCTATATCATTAGGTATAGATCGGGCACCGGCACCCCCAAATAAACATGAATAGTGCATCTTTTATTGACGTAAATGCGACATATCGCATAAGTGCAACGTTTCGTGGTCACGCAGCATCTATACTTTATGAATGTGATGGCGTCATCCAGTTGCCTTTGGATTAAGCGGTTAGCAGTGCGATGGGTTCATGGACTTTTTCTATATCAATAGGATACTTAAAGGGTTTGTAAAACCTACCAATTAACTTCTCTTGTTTGCTCTATTTATTCTGGTAAATATACCATTGAAAGTGTTTGTAATATTTTTTTGATAAGTGTAAAATATACCTGTTGATCCTTTCAAAGATGATCACTTCCTGTACTCTGTGCCTGTGCTACACAAACTATCTCTGTGGACGACAGATCCCCTCCCCTCTTTGTTACAAACTATAGGTGAGTGGGAGGATGCTGTAGTTCTGCCCCAGGGTAACAACACTGCTTCTCCATATAAATGTTGCAGTGACCGTTATCACCCTAGGAATGGAAGACTTTTACTGGCAGGTTAACCTAGTGACCATGAAATGAAAGAACCTTTACCAAAAAAAAAGAATGCAGCCACCTAATCTATATACTGGTAAGCTGCAATATATGGTATTTTTGTTCTTGGGTTATGATATGCTTTACATCCTCCAGCATACTATATGACCCAAAACACATTGTAATCACAGTGCAAGTGTTTGACTTCCATGCCAGAATAATCTATGAAAAACAGCAGTCCACCCCCATTAGGAGGATGAGCAATACTAATGGAGGAACGCTAGCTAGCAACATTCCCCACTAATCACAACATTTCTTTTCTTTTTGCTCTTTAGGTCAAGATGGCAGAGATTAGAAGTCTTCATCTGAATACCCCTCTCAGAGACAGTGTGCCATTGTCTAAATTGTCTGGCATCAAAGTATATCTAAAACTTGATAATGCTCAGCCAACAGGCTCTTTCAAGATTCGTGGCATTGGCCATCTGTGCAAGACAGTGAGTAAACACTCAGAGGGTGAATGAGTGAGCTTTGAAGTATTGTGTGACAAGACGAATAAAAACATTGGGAATATTCACTTCAGTATGCCCCCCAGTGTGTAACAGCAAAAGTGCTGATAGAAAAGACAGTGATCCTGATTTTTAGTAATCAAGGTAGAAAAGGCTCCAGCCCCCAATGCACATTTACTGAAATGTGTCACTTTTAAAGTGAGTTTTCACTTAGTGAACAAGGTGAAACAAACAGGTGATAATTTACTTTGAAAAGAATACCCAATCATGTATATGCAAGGAAAATTGAAAGAAAACGTTTTTTTTCTTCCACAATGTTGGATGAGCGAAGTCAACATAACTTCACCTCATTCATTAAAGCAGAAGTCGAGGTAAAAATGTTATGAACCCTTGCAGTGAGGCTATCCCCACACTGCAAGGGTTAAGTGCTCGTTTTTGCCTAGGATTAAAAATGAAAAAGTTATACTCATCCGATCCTCGGTGCCGGCTTGCTCATTGACTGGTCCCTAGAGCCTCTCTTCCCTGTCGCTGCAGCAGTCTGAGGTCCCTGAGTCATCATGTTCTATACACAGTGTGTAGGACATGAGGACACCATTACATACCATTGCTGCAGCAAAGGAGGAGACAGGCTGAAGGGAGCATTGTCACAGCCAACCAGCTCTCAGGTTCAGGTGAGTATAACTTGTTATTTTTGACTCTAGGTATAACGCACTTAACCCTTATGTGGGGGAGCCTACTGCAAGGGTTAATAACATTTATACCAGGAGTTGTTCTTTAAGCTAAGAGATTTTTTTTTTGATATTTTACTTTAGCTGGGTAGATTTTCATACGAACAATCACATCAGAACATTAGATAATGTCATCAGAGATTTGACAAATGTTCTTTGAAATTTTGTTTAGTTTTAACATTTGAATTTTATTTATTATAGGTATTTATATAGCGCTGACAATTTACACAGCACATTTGTATCAGTCCCTGCAAGCAAGGAGCTTACAATCTAAAGTCCCTATCTCACATGCATACACACACTGTAGGGGACAATTTAGGCAGGATCCAATTAACCTTCCAGCATGTCCTTGGAGTGTGGGAAGAAACCAGAGAAACCCCACACAAGCACAGGGAGAACATGAAAACTCCATGCAGATAACGTCTTGACTTGGATTTGAAATGGGGCCCCCCCAGTACTGCAAGACAGAAGTTCTAGCCACTGTGCTGCCCCATAGTCAATATCATTTCCCAAACAAATACCACATTAACATTATTCATTCCAGAAAAAATTTCCATTCTGATCCTTCAATGCTTTTCATCACTACAGTTACATTTGAGCGATTTAAGCCTATTAACTATTAGAAAACTGAACGTTCAAAAACTGTTTTGAACGAAATTCTAACCATGTATACCCAGCTTTATGTGAATGAGGTGAAGTTGTGCTGACTTTGTCTAACGTCATTCACTAAGCAAAAATTCACTTTACAATGTGAAAAGTTACTTTGAATGTGAACATGCTCTACTCCTTTAGTCAATCAACCCTAGTGAATCTGCAGTAGGGGTTGGAGAAAAGGTTGTCAGCAGGACAGTGAGTAAGGGGTAATCTGTCTAACTCCAGCCACAGACAGCAGTAAAACCCCTGCGTGAGATCTAGTGCTTCCCCGCATTATCCAGATATAAAAAAAAAAAAAATGTTTTGGGTATAGATACACTTTAACGGCCCATTCACATCAGCCAGAGTGCGTACTGGCCCGATTGGGGCCGGCTCACTTTGTGTTGGTGCGGGAGGGGGTGTGGCGGTGCACTGAATTCTATGACACCACCGCCACGCTTTCCGGACGCAGTGCGATAGGCTACATGGCACATCAATGCCTGCATTGCGGTCCGCTCAGAAAAATAGTGCTTGGAGCATTTTTTATGACCGGACCGCAGTCATTGATGTGCAATGCGTTCCCTTGCGGCTGGGTTCAATGCACCGCCACACCTCCTCCCGCCCCAACACAAAGTGAGGCGGTTGCAATGCGATCCAGATGGTGTGAACAGACCCTAATTCCACAGCAAAAACCTTTTTTTTAATGATTGCTTTGAGACTCTGTCCTGACTATGAGTAATAACTGACATATGACCGATCTAATATATTTAACATATGCAAAATAGTTTATATAGTCAATGTTTACTAAAGTTCATGTTTAAAGCTGAACTCCAGGCACAATCAGCATACTTGTGTTTATAGCAGTTGAAGCCTCTGATTACTCAAAAGCCACCTCCCGTGATGACGGCTATCTTTTAAATCCCACAGATCTTGTTTACACATGGGTAGAAGTAGAGCTTCTCCTGTACGTCCATGCTGCTTTTGGACATAGGCGATGCAGATCTCAATAAGCCTCAGCACTATGTTCACATCTTTTGCCCCTCTCTTCTCCTGGCTAGACTAAAAGGCTCCATTTTCCTAATGGCCAGGAGATACAACTGTAGCGCTGGGGTCTATTGAGAATTGCCCAGTTTACATCCGAGTGGAGATGGAAGTGCAGTACAGCACTTCCATCCACATGTAAACAAGGCTTCAACTGCTATAACACAAGTAAGCTCTTAAGGGGGAATTTATCAACACTGGAGCAGACAGAATCTGGAGCAGTTGTCAAAGCAACCAATCAGCCTCTCTCTTTAGTTTGTTCAGTTAAGCTCTCTTTAGTTTGTTCAGTTAAGCTTTCAAAATGTAATAAACGAGAAGCTGATTGGTTGCCATGGGCAACTGCTCCACATTTTGTGCGTTCTGGTTTTAATAAATCCCAGAGGTCCAGAGTTTAGCTTAAAGAATGTAAAAAGAGTAGAGTTCCAAAGCAATCAATGATCTTTTCATTGTGCTTACTGATAGGAGGTAAAATCTGCTATGCATTATTGTATTATTGTTAAATAGGCCCAAATAATCACCAGTAACAAGAGTTACATTTATGTCATGTCTTCTCTTCTTGTAGTGGGCAGAACGTGGCTGTACCCATTTTGTGTGCTCCTCAGGTGAGTTTCTCAGTTGTTTAAGCTCTTGTTCCTATAGTCACGTATTAACTTTCACACTGGGTGCTGCACATTCCACGTATACTCAGCCTACAGTATAGGACTGTTACCAAAAAGGTTACCAATGGCCCTCCATTTTTGTACCAAGAGTTTTCTTAAGCTGGCCATAAGCACTCACTGTACGAATTTTGCCTGGTTCTTGATGACCTGGATGAAATTTGCACAGTGGGTGACCCTGTCGCCACCCTTCTGTCTGACATCCTTTGATCAAAAGATCGAAGGAGATGGTCAGAAAATCTTGGGGCTGATTGGCTGCCGTCACTGTTTGGGTATTCTAAAAGCGGCACCCAGCCACTGCTGTCAGAATACAAAGCACACAGTGGATGTGTAGCTTTCTTCTCGCTTGCGGTCCATGTTACTAGTGCTACCTGGAAAAGGAGGCGGCTTACACTGTTGAGAAATAGCAATAAAAACCTGAAAAAGGTTCTTATCTTTCACCACTCTATCCAAAACTGAAACAAAAACATTATGGGTTGACGTCTGCTTTAACATCACCAGGGAGTTTATAACACGGTGGAATATAGAATTATATTTTGAAGCCATAAAAGAATATAATAGATTTGTTCCTCAGTACATAGATAGTGCTTATGCATCAGGCTTTCTATTTACCAGTTACCATTGTTTGTTACTACAGGTGGTAATGCTGGCCTGGCAGCTGCTTACAGTGCCCGCATGCTGTCCATTCCTGCCACAATCCTTGTCCCTACCACTACTCCAGCCTTTACAATTCAGAGGGTTAAGGATGAAGGAGCAACAGTGTGTGTAGTGGGAGAGGTAAGCTTACTTTAAAGTTGGGTAATTACATAACACAAACATGGAGGATGGACACAGAGTGTAATTATCATAGCTGTGGACCTTTGGGGGCTGCCATCAGTGCTGCAAGAAATCTAGCGGGTTGGAAAGTTTCGTTCAATATTCTGTGTATCTTCAATGAGAAAGACCCCTTGATATGCACTAAATAGTGTACAGTGTGTGCGTGTTGGGGAACAGTGACAGTCTGATCACTTGAGGGTCTATTCACTAAGCTAACGTAGGCAGCCAAATGAAAGACCGACCTGAAGTGAAGTGAGCCGAACGCTGTTCAGCTATTAGTAAAATGGTATGACACACTATAGCATCAGTTTTACATACTAATGCAAGAGATGACAATTCAGACAAGAGTGGTAATATGCAATGACCCATGCAAAACCTAAACAAAATAAATATTGTATATAATCTAGTTCCTTGAGTTCTGAAATTCAGTTGAACATTTTTGTAGTAAAATAAAACTCCCTTAAATAAGGGGTATGCAATCAGTTAGGTTTAGGGTCCCCAAATGCAGTCCCAACTACCCATGAAGGCCAAAAACTGATACTAGTTTTTTAATTATGCTCATTAAGTAGGGAAATTATTCACTAACATCATTGTTTCAGTTTTGGAACTGACTAATGTGCAGTTCAGAGGTATGTTCCTTGATATAGAGTGACCATAGCAATAAAATGATTGTTGTGCAATCAATTCCTTTTCCAATCAGTTGGTCCCCTGATGTAAGGCAAACATGCTAGGTGCTTCCAATGTGCCTAAACATGTACTTTTGGCTCTTTGGCTCCAATGAGATTTGAGATGCCTGTGCACTGATGATTTTCACAAAATATTGTTGTCAATCAGTTGTTTTGATTAACATCAACATGTCAATGTGCACCTTAATACATTTCATTTGCCAGTCTAGTTTCACCAGCAGCACACATTATAAAAGTAATTCAATATATTTGCTATTTACAGAGTTACATTGTCTAATTTAATTTGCAGATGCTGGATGATACAATTGAGCATGCTAAAGAGTTAGTGAAGAATAACCCAGGATGGGTGTATATCCCCCCGTTTGATGATCCTTTAATATGGTAAAACTATTTTCTTTCAACTAGTCATACTGATTGTCAGTGAATAAAATGTGTACACACATCTCTAATAAACACCATTATAGACTGTGATTATACATCTATTATCTGGGATGGACTAATGTACATGTATGGTAACAGGAGATCAATGATTAGAACATTTTTTAAAGCACTAATACCAATTCTTGGGATCATTATTGTTCTCATAGTTGAAGATTTTTTTCTAAACTACGTAGAATTAATTATGGCAAAGTAGAATGAATATCTGTTGTGTCCTACATCTTGGACTGTACATGGCCCATGGCCACTGGAGCTAGGCCTTCCTTGTCTAGATGACAAGAGAAGTATGAAAGTATCCTGGGCTTTTTTTCAATAATGCAGCCAGAAGAACAGCAGCTCAGATTTTAGTCTATTGTAAACAAATGTGTGATACATTTTTTAAATGTTTGAAAAGGGTTAGTATACTGTCATGTCAAGTCTTCTTCTGGGTTCCGGATCTTCGGCCATCCAGATTTGCCGCTAGGATGACGTAACCCCTGCACATATGTGGGAGCTCATTAATTTCAGAGGATGCCAAATTATACAGGTGCACATGTACAGCTCAGTGTACATTGTAAAGAAGACTGCGGAAAGGCAGGTAAGAAACTTTATTGCGCAAGAGAACTATTATGTCTCTTCAGCAATAAAATTCTGCCTGTTAACGCCTTTTGCATTACCTAAAAATCCAATAATACAACATCTGTAAGCTATCTCGCAGGAGTTGACATCCTAACCCCATCTTTTTCTGGGTTTGGTATCTTCAGCCATTTTGATTAGCCCCATAGATTTAATTCACCTTAGTACCCAGCAGATACACAGACCAGTGTAAAAAAGATAGTGAATGGAAAGGTAGTACCCCTTCATTATAGTAGAGATAGCTCTTCTGCAATAAAATACCTTCCTGCTAGCAATTGGTGTTTTTTTTGACAGAGTTCCCCTTTAAGGCAGAGGAGGAACCTATCACATTTGCTACTTATCTTTAATTTCTCAGGTTAAAAGAGCTTTCAGACAATATCTTCCAGGTACTAACACCTTGCAGTGCCTTTAGGTATATTTATTCATCCTCATTTCATTTTCTATTTTGTCCAAGTCTTGTATATAGTAGGCTTCTTGGACTCCAAGAAGCCCCTTGATTCCAATTGCCAACTATACACAGTATATAGGATTGGCTTCTGCCCCTAAGTCTGAACTAAGCCTGTCTTGAAGCTAAGCCCTATTCCCGCCATTCAACAGCCCAATGCAAGAAAAGGAGTCTACTGCTCAATGAGTCTCTTGCACTTATATTTTGAATGGAAGAGGTCATGGCATAGCTCCCAGTCTATACAGAGGTTAAGGCATATGTAAAGGATGTACCCAGCATGGAGGGCCTCCCCTGGGACAAAGAAGGTCATTTGAAGGAGGTCATTTAAGGATTTAAAAATTATTCGAAGGTACCGCAAGTTTGATTTAAACTTTGTTTTTGTGAACTGACAGGTTCCCTGTAGAACAAATAATTTAGGAAACGTGAGGATAACATTTAAAGAGACTGTAATACCATCGATATTCTGTATCTAAAAGGGAGATGTAATCTTTAGAGCATGTTACAAAATCCTAGACAATAAAGGCAAAGACAAAAGAGTTTAGAACAGAGCAGTAGAATGGTCATTGTGAAAATGGAGTGTTTAGGATTAGTAGATGACAGGAAAGAGCTACAATTAAGAATGGCAGATGGTATGAGGGTTGTCTTGTCATGGATTTGTTGAAAAGAAAATATGAATATGAATGAAATTTTAGGGTATATCAATGTGGCCCATACCTTTTGAGAGATACTGGTGTGCCTGTGCACAAGAAGCAATAATACATAATGTACTAATAATGATTATTTCAGGAACACACTAAAGTTGGCCACAGACATTAAAGAATAGTTGGACACACAATCTTGTCTCACAAAGTGTCCTGGACTGTTTTTTTCCCTAATGAGAGAATAGGCATACAGGGTTATTCACAAAAGAGTGAAGAGTTTGGAGAAGACAGGAGAAGTGAACAATCTAGGACAACATAGCTGAACTGGAAAGTGAACTGAATTGGAGAATTTTTTTTAAATCAGCTACATTGGCCTAGATTGTTAACTTCTCCTGCCTTCTCCAAACTCTTCACCCTTTTGTGAATAATCCTGATGGAATAACTATGTTAATCACACAGTTATACAATACTGGATCAGAAGACTGTGATTTAATGTCTAATGTTTTTCTCTAAAAAATTATTAACCGATCTTGTTAAATGCCTCAATGGCTCACAGAGGTGCTAAGTCAAAGATGAGTGAAGATATAACCACCTCACCCATATAGCATAACAATGCATAGTTGCACCAGTCAAGCGTGTTTGCATCTTACACAGAAACCCCTTACCCCAGTCTTATCTCTTGGAAAAAATAATGATGAGCCAGAGAAATCCCTACTTTATTACTGATTCTCTCTAGATCAGGCTGCCTTGCCTTGGGGTGATTCAGGTGCTACCATTATCTGTGCTTTACAGCTGGGACGAACATGCAGCCAGGGAAACATCAGTATAATTAATGGGCATGTACATGTTCTAGGTCAATGGCTTAACTAGCAGTAAATGAAGGTTAAGAATTACCGCTCCCATATTTATGTCTTGACAGGTTCCTTTATAGTGTTTTCTCCTTTAAATATTTTTTTTCCTGCTAGTGGTAGAAACATCATAGGATGGGAGCACTGGAGACTTACTTGTCCCTAAAATATTTTACAGTTACAAATACAACTTAAATCTGCTAATTACTACTAATCTCTTACAGACCAGTAGTCCCTCAATGACAGTGATTTTTATAGTTTTTGAAGAGATCATGCCGCCAGACAGAGCAAATGCAATGAACAAATTGGGACATTAGCAGAAATGGACAATTCCTAGGCTGCGGATAACAATACCATTAGCTTAATTTATACATTCCATGCTATGTACTGTAGCTCCTTATATCTGTATATAATTAACAACATATATGTTCCATCACTGGTGGTTTTATATTGTTTAATTAACATGGTCTAAGCTAAGATTTCCCTCTAACTTAATACAGCAGTTTCATTTATCATATAAAGTAATCTTATTGCCAAAGCACATGTTTTACAGTGCTCACTCTTTTTCCTACAGGGAAGGCCATACCTCTCTGGTGAAAGAAATGAAAGAAAGTCTTCGTTCAAAACCTGGAGCTATTGCCCTGTCAGTGGGTGGTGGTGGTATGCTCTGTGGTGTGGTCCAAGGCCTGCGGGAAGTAGGATGGGATGATGTCCCTATCATTGCTTTGGAAACTAAAGGCGCCCATAGCTTAAATGCTGCTCTGGAAGCTGGGAAATTAGTTACTTTGCCAGAAATAACCAGGTAACCATCAACAACCTCAGACCTAAAATAGAACTATGGCCTTCCATTAAAAAATATGTGCCGCATCACTTAATTATAAGTGCATCTGCACTTACAGTTTTTTCTTAGTCCAAATGTTAAGTTCCACAAATACTTGTTGATCCTGCCAGTAAAGTCCACCTAATGCAGCTTTCTGTGATGGTGTGGCAACAATGCTGCACTGCTCTTAAATTCAGAGCAGAGTTGTCACTCTCATAGAGGCTGTGCTTGCTTGCACTACAGTGGGAAGAAACATTTTGCACGTGGCCTGGTTATCAGCATTTTGCCTGCTGATTGACAACCCTGGAAGTGTCAGTCAACCCTTGACCACATTTGGTCCTCACTGCTTTCTGGATTGACAGCACTGCCTCTGTTGCTGAAACCCAGTGAGCTGCAATGCCTGGGAGGGGTACTGTGACAGACACAAATGAAGGAGGATTCGGCTGTCAGCGAAGGTAAAGGAAAGAAGCAAGGAGGTTTTTTGGTTTACTTTGAGGCTTTCCATCAAATAGAATTTGGATTTGGTAATTGTTTAGACTGCCATACAGGGCCTTTAGTTATACTTTAATCAAGAACAAGTGGATTCTCCACTTTTAAAATTAGCACAAGAGCCAGTTCTTAAGGGGTTACTTTTTTGCTTGTATCAACTGCCATGAGATAATACCATTTGAACATTTTGTAAGGAGAGGGAGCCATGGCTTCGTTTAGCGGGGGTCGTGACGGCGCCCCCCCTCAGTCCTGCGCCCGGGGCAAGTGACCCCCCCGCACCCCCGGTTGTTACGCCACTGGTGCACAGTGATGGTGAAGTACAGTGAATCATAGAAATTAACTGCCTTTAATTGAACTTAGTTAAGGGAAATATAAATTCTCTTTTACTGCTATGAGATTGCCTTTTGCTTTCTTAAATAAATCAAAGTTCCCAATTCTGCCATCCTACCAGGCCATTACAGTTGTAATTCATCGCTGTTGCATTTTTATTATATAATGAGGAATGGGTTTTAGCCATGTTAAATAATAGAGACAGGTGCAGGAAGAAAAAAAAATCACGGGGCAAAAGTAAAGCTACGTACTACCGTGGTGATGGGAGGAGTGATGTTTAGTTTAAAAAAAAAAAAAAAAAATTCTTTATATAACCATAAAAACAAAGTCATTAACCCTGTTCATTGTATTTCCTATTCAGTGTAGCCAAGACTCTGGGAGCTAAAACAGTTGGAGCTCAAACACTGAAAGTAGCTCAGGAACATCCGGTTTTCTCCGAAGTCATCTCTGATCAGGATGCAGTAATGGCCATTGAGAGATTTTTAGGTAAGTTATCACCTGTCTCATAAGCAAAAAAACATTTCTAAAAGAGAACTACAGTGGTACCTCGGTTCACAAACTTAATTCGTTCCACGATTCTGGTCGTGAACCGAATCAAACTGTGGTCAGACCTCGATTTCAACTAGAGGAAGCCATGACCATGTGTCAGAGCAGGGAAGATGGCTGCGGTTGTGTTCGTCACCCGATGCAGAGTTCGTGAACGGGAGCAAAATTTTGAGCTCCATCCATATGTGCATTGCTCACAACTCCCTCACATGTCATGTAGAGGTACCTGGACCAGAGTGACGCCACATTCTGGCTTTTGGCATCTCTACAGAGTGCTCAAGGGAGTTGTACAAGCAATGCACATATGGATGGAGTTCCGTCACAGCACAGCAGCCCGCACTGGACCCCAGATGGAGGATCCACTCCAGTTCTAAAAAAAAGTGTGTGTGTGAGATTGTGTCTGTACTGCATGTCAGTGTTTTTGAGGGCCAGTTCACACTAGTACAGTGCATTAAACTGTACCACACAATTGCACCTACCGTGCATTCTAGTGTGGGAGGCGTGTTGTGTTGCCATTCATTTGAATGGTACCCCAAACGCACCTCCCACCCACAGTTCGTACGCCATCACCGGAAAGCGCAGTACCCGAATTTCGTGTGTTCCATTGCAGTGTAACTTGGGTCGCGACTTAATGGCCAAGGACAAATGTGGATCCTGAGGTAACACTGGTTGAGAACCACTAGTCTAGAGGCAGAGCTAGCTGTGCCTGCCCCCCTCCCCTGTCTGTCCCTCCAGTCAGCACTGGAGGAACCGAGAGGGGAATCCCTGCAGCGAGCGGTGACTGACTGTCCCCGTTCTCTGCAGCGAGAAGATTGTGAACTGAGCGGTCAGTGGTTCGTGATTGCTTAGTTCTCAATTAATAGAGCCGATGTGCGACAGCTTCAGTGTCACACGTTGGCTCTAAGTATGGGGCTGAGTGTATTTCACTCTCCCCATAATTCTCCTTTAAAAAACAGAATTAAAAAGCCATATGGTGTTCGGTATGTGACTGATCCCTTTGTCCATTCCCGCAGATGATGAAAAGATGCTTGTGGAACCTGCTTGTGGAGCTGCTCTAGCAGCAGTTTACAGCAACGTCTTTGGAAAACTGCAAAAGGAAGGAAAATTGAGTCAAGGTCTCGCCTCTCTTGTTATCATAGTATGTGGTGGAAACAATATCACCCTGACACAGCTATTTCGGCTTAAGGAGCAGCTGGATATTGAGTCCATTAGTGCTGCTTAGCACTGATGCATCATCGAGGAAAAGACTACAGAATTCCTGAAATAGACTTCTGTCCTACTGTCACAATAGGAGAACCATTGAAACAGAAGCAACTGCTCTGCTTAACCAATTCATTCATATAGCATTAGCATCAAGTCACTTCTCATTTCTAAACCAAATGGGCATCTGCCTGGGTCACTGACCAATTACTAGTGCTGAGTAGCTAGCCAAAGAGAAGAATGGAAGCTGAATACTTTGAAATAATCTCCAGCAAGTGTTTTGTCTTTCTTTGGTTATTTAGGTCTATGTCCTCTGGCATCCAGAGGTTCTTTAGGGCAATTTTTTTTAACAGATTACAGTTTAAGTTTTAAGATTCTACATTTTCTGGCATAAAAACAATATACATTTGCATGACTACACTGTAAAAATGTGCAAACGTTCTGTACCTACTGGGACCTGCTCTAATCTTCAATATGGAAATGAATTCCCCTGGAAAATCTGACAACCAGATTGTTGTCAAAACAAGTTATGGCCTGTCTCTGGGTAGATGGAGTGGAGTGAAGGGGTTGTGTGAAGGGCAGCATCTCCAGGAAATATTTGTTCCCCATATTAGCGCTGCAGTTCCTATATGCACAGCATCATCAAGGGCAAAAGGAAAGAGAATTGTGTTGTCAAGAAGCAAGGGATGCCAGGTTTCGTTTTTTTTTTTATATGATGAAGGCCCCATTCAGACCTACGCGTGAGCATAACCATGGAATTTAGAAGGTTTTTTTTTTCTTCTGCATTTGTACACACATTTTACAGTGTGACTTGTAGTACAGGAGCAGAATTGTGTTTCTTGGGCCAAAGACAGTCAAAAGAAAAATACCAGAAAAAACAAAAAACACACACTTTTCAGGCACTCTTGGTAAAGTCTAATAGGGCCAAAGACTCACAATTATGCCCCCCCTCCCCCCCCCAAAAAAGCTCATGTACTTCTTCTAGCTTCATATAGTAAAACAGAATACTAAGGCGGGAGCAGGCCCATTGATATCTTGAGCATTGTTGCATTTCAGGAGTTAATCAACAAAACACTCAAGTATAAATGGGGCCTTAGAGCTGCTGGCAGTGATGTGCAGAAGGGAAAAGCAAACAGGAATGCTTTATGCTGGGTTTTTTTTTCTGCATCTCAGGTACCCCAAAATAGTAAACTTTTTTTTTTACACAGCAAGGGATATTTTTTCAATAAAATTGCTGTTGCATGTTAAAAAGGACACAAAAGATTTTAAAAAAAGCTTCCTGAAAGTTCTTCTTAAACGGAAAAAAAAACAAGAAAAAAAAAGTTTTGTAAAATTGACTAATGAAGCAAAGGGACTAACTTTACACGCATCTACCTCTTTAAAAGTGACTGTATTGTACATATATATTTGTCACGATCACAGAAATACTACATAAAAAAACCAAAACGATGTAATGAAATAACTACTGAATTTATTTGCTGTATGTTTATTGTATATGTGACATTAAACCCTTTTACAATAAAAAAAAAAAAGGAAGGACACGTATTATTTGGGGGTTGCTGATCTTGAGCACAGAACAGGACAGCAGACTGAACTTCAGTGTACTGCAGATAAACATGAAGAAAGATGTTAAAGTGTAGTTCCAGTTTTGTTGAAAATAATCAATCCCATCCAGATCAACTTTGAACTTCTTCCCCCTGGATTTTACAGAGAACAGCAGAGGTGTAAGGTAATGTTACCCCCATTGCTCCTTTGTGACTGCTGCTGCTGGCTGTGTGCCCTGCACTTGACAGATCACATGACAAATGCAGGGAAGCACAATGCCACTGACAAAAAGGTACATGTCCTTCAGATGTGGGAGCTTGCTTCCTTACAGTGCATGAAACTGTAAAGTGCCAGGGAGAGGACTCCTAGTCCTGCACTGTATGTGACATCAAAGTGCAACGGCGAACCAGAGCACCGAAGAGAAAATACTTTAGGGACTGGCTGCACAATATAGTGGAAGCCTGCTAGAGCAAGGAATAAGGTTAAGTATTACAACGTATTCCTCTTTCCCCAGACTTAACGGGCATTTAATCTTTGCACATCAGGGAAAGGTTAATACTAAAAACCATGATACCATATTTTTACAACAGAAATTCCAGGAGTTTAGTTTTAATGTTGTACCAATGATTACAAAGCTGCATTGATTTGTGCTTTTATATATACACAGTACCTAGAGTTTTGCTTTAGGGCAATACAAAGCTTTAAGTTTATTTTCCAAAATGTCCTTGAAAAATGCAGCTGACATTTTTTTTTTTTAGTCACACCCACAGGCTTTGGTCTTTGCACAGGCTGTGTACAGCACAGGGATGATGTCACTGCTATTTTTATATGGTATTGCATGGGTTTGCAAAGGCATTGAGTGCCCACACAGTTGATTGAGTGTGTTAAAGCTGAGCTCTGGGCACAAAAATGTATTTAAAACATACACCTCAAAGTATTTAGGGTTAAAAGGGGCCACCAAAATCAAAAGAGCAAGTTTAGACTATACACTGACGCCATTAATTCAATAACTCAAGGTTGGTTAAAACAAAATTCTATTACAATTAAAACATACATAAACCAGAAGGTTGTGCATACAATTCTTAAACAAGCACAGAATTCTATTCCTATACACAAAAGTGCAAGACAAGCCTTAAAAAAAATCAAGGTAAATACACAATAGTATTGCTCACTTGCAGCAGCTTGAAAATCTTATTGCATAGAGACTTTGCAAGGAGACCGAAAACATGATTTACATACCTGAATGCTTTTTGGTGTTTATTGTATCAAACATCTGACACCGACATTCTGCCTGGCATAAAGCAAAAGCTTTTTATTATAAATATAATGTTATTCCAGGAATGTGGATGTGGCCCAGGACGGGCCAGTCCACATACATAACGCAAAGACAAATTGAAAGGCTTCTTTAGATTATTTGATCGGCTTATCTATGAAACACATCAGCCTAAAAATCTATAGCTTGCTAGAATAAAGGATCTTTTATTGATACAAATTATGGGATATTATCATTTGAAGCCCTGGAGCGTTTTGATTGCAGACAGGAGACTGGTAATACATTGGATTCTGCTGTCAATGAAACTGCTGGTCATTCTTACAGCAAATGTTTTGGCACAAAATGGAGTACAACATGGTGACTTACACTAACTAAACTACGAAGTGCTTTTGTGGATATGCCAGTTCCATACACAATGGAATAATATATTGCTTTAATGTTATGAAAATGCATGCTTATATTCCACCAACAGGTTTTAAAAGTATATGCCACTTATTAGCAGAGGCAGGAAAGTAAGGCTGACAAAGGGCTGTAGGCACGCGTGCACAAACCATCAGTGCTAGATACACCTAGTTATTCTTTCACATAAGAGCGTCGCTGGGTACCGGTCAGGACAATATATGTGAGCTGCCATTAATTACTCGTTTTAAAAAGTGCAAATTAAGTGGCTCCCATGCTTGTAGTTAGAAAAATCGCTGAACAAGGAGTCAATGGATTTGGGTTTTCCAGCCTCTGATCTTATGGGGTCAGTGACTTAAGAAAATGTTTTAAATGTGCTGGTGACCACTTTTCACTAGAACAAGGGGTAAGACAAACACAGGCAGCAATAAGTTCTGTTGATGCCGGCTTCCCATTTGAGAAATTTCCTCTTACTTTCTGTTTCCATGACTACTAATCTCCAGGAAAGGAGGTGAGGGAAAAGCTCCCCAACAGGCATCAATACAAAACTAAAAACCCGACTAAAGCTCAAACTTTCACCACAGAAAAATAGAAGTTTTGGCTGGAGCTCCACTTTAAGCAGTGAGGCAAGGCAGAGGACAACAGCCATGTTTTAAAACATGTCAGCGCCTATATATTTAGGACATCTGTCAAGTTCCCTTTAATTAAAAGAGACACTAAATTCAGGAATTAAATCCTAAAAATACATTCAAGTACCTCAACTATTACCAAAAATGTATCTTATATGTGCATTAATCAGCTGTAGATCCTCAAATCATCTCTGAATTGGTGCCGACACGTAATTTCTGGAGGGTGGCTACTTTAGTTACCCATGGTCCCTGTGTGTTGTAAAGTAGCCACCGCTCCAAGCTCACTCCCGTGATGGACTACAATCTTACCTTTAGTTTACTAATTTGTATTGAGATTGTAGTCCATCACATGAGCGAGCTTGGAGCTGTGGCAACTTTACAACACACTCAAGGACCATGGAGAAGAAAAGTAGCCACCCTCCAGAAGGACTGGGTCAGCACCAATTCAGGAGAGGATTTGAGGATCTACAGTCGAATGATACACAAATAAAAAAAGGTATAAGTTAAAAAGGTACTGGAATGCATTTAAGATTTAACTACAGAGTTTAGTGTCACTAAAAAATTGCATCAAAACTACTGAGCTAAATCACTGCCTCCTCCACATGGCCAGCCTTGCAACAGGAAGCAGCCACGTTGTGGGTTACACCAATATTTACAACAATAAAAAAAAAAAAAAAATTACATGAAAATATGGGGTAGCCAAGGTCTTGGCTTCCTTTAAGAAGGGCCTGTTAAAAGAATTTAATCACAGCCGTGAACAGATAAAAAAAAATATATTACACTGAAAAAACTACAAATAAGTCACAATGCTGTATACTAAAGCATGATTTTGCAGCACTGCAGTAAAGCAAGTACTGTGGATTAAAGTTAAACAGATTATCATCAGCATTTATATTTTGGATTATAACTGTACAATGACTTATAGTATATGCTAAATTATATATAAAAAAATATATAATTATACAAGTTGAAGGAAACAGACACACACACAGACACAGTGGAGGTTACCTAATAAGACAGTGCAAAAACCCATGGGAATGTGCATCATGTAGTAATCCATAACCAGACAGATTTCCCTTTGTCGTAGTTAAACCAATTAAAAGATCATTTCTTGTTGTCTGCTATGGGCTTAATGCATGTTGTCCATTACCATTGCTTTTTTTTGTATTACATCTCAAAACGTAAAGTAGGATTATGATAAGGAAATTGTAAATCAAACTTACTCATGCATATATAGCCCTTCATGAAGCAATAACATTTGCAAGAAATAAAAGATCCATTGATGAAAAAGGTAAAAAAAAAAAGAAGAAGGTTGAGGAATAATATGTATGATAAAAAACAAAAAAGCCTATACTAGAAGGGGTTGGGATATAACAAATAAGAGTAAGATGGCAAATTATCCTAACATTTGACTAACATTCAGAAAACCTACCAGTAAACCTTGTTTTATAGAAAAGGATGAATATAAAATGAAAAAGTACTCTTATGTAGGGAAAAAAATTATAATTTAAGCTCTTTATTTCTAGTACATTCCTTTTGGGTTTATTGTCCCTTTTGTTGTACGACTAACAAGGTACCAATCTGCATTTAGGAATCAGTCACTGATCACTGCTCACATACCAGAGTGGTTCATTATTTCTTAGAACATTGTACCAGCATCATAATCACATATTTAGCAGAATATGTGAATCTGGATCACCACTGGCTGTTACCAGTAGACATTTCAGGGTCTTTGAGACAAAGTCTTTTAACTGTCAAGATGATGGTTGCTAGAAGAACGGTCACTTGTCACATCTAAGAAAATTCTTCAGTCCCATCTGATGAGGATAGGATCAAACTTCCAGAGGTCAGGGTGACCCATATGCATAAGGTTACTGAAGGGAGAAGTGCTCCACTGGAAAGGAGGCACCTGGTCCCAGGTGGGACCATTAACTGCAAGCATCATATGCTTCTTCGCCAACTCATAACTAGTCACCTGTGAAAAGAGCGGAGGATATTTCCCCATATAAGATTCATTGCATTTAACAAGTTCTCATAACATTATGAACACATTTGTGGGCCTTTACCAACCTTCATATCAGTGCCACCATGCTGTCGCTGGCTCATAGCTCCAAAAGGGTAAGTGCCATTGGCTGGATTGAGATCAGAGCGAGCGGAGATTGCGTTCTCCCCATTTGGCTTTGGTTCACAACTTGAGCAGACTGACAGAGGATCATAAAGGTAGTTATTGTATCTGAAATATAGAAATAGCCAATCTCAATATGTTCTCCAGAGACCTACAGTGCAGAAAACGGTATTTTTACTTTGGAAATAGAATGCATATTTCAATAGAGGTTTAAGCCATATGCATATTTCAATAGAGGTTTATGCCATATAGAAATTTTCAAAAGTAAAATCTAAAATGCCCAAGAGGAAAAATAGGATTTTGGTACTCACCGTAAAATCCTTTTCTCTCCGTTCATTGAAGGACACAGGGAACAGATCGGAGATCCTGTACTGTAGGGTAATATCGCCACCTGCAGGAGAAGGACGCTAGGCACAAAACTAAAGACCAATTACAGCCTAGGGGCGGCCCCTGCCGGTGGCCAAACCCCCCACCTACTGAGAAGTCTCCAGTTTAGTAACAAGCAGTAAAGGAGTACACACCCACATAGAGGGGTGGGCCCTGTGTCCTTCAATGAACGGAGAGAAAAGGATTTTACGGTGAGTACCAAAATCCTATTTTCTCTCCCGTTCATTGAAGGACACAGGGAACAGATCGGAGATCATGTACTGTAGGGACGTCACAGAGCAGTACCAAAAAAGAGGGGTGGGCCAACAGAAACAACAAACCCAACTTAAACAAAAAAATTCCCTCAAACGGCGGCCTGCAACACTTTGCGCCCCAAACCAGCATCCGCAGATGCCAAAACATCCACCTTATAAAACTTGGCAAAGGTGTGAACAGAAGACCAAGTCGCAGCCTTACAGACCTGAGAAACGGAGGCACCATGACGAAAAGCCCAAGATGCCCCAACAGCCCTTGTAGAATGGGCCGTAACAGAAAAAGAAGGCTCATGCCCCTTAATAGCATACGCCTGAGAGACCGTGTTGCAAATCCATCGAGAGATGGTGGCCGACGAGGCAGCCCGGCCCTTCCGACTTGCCCAACACCACGGACGGAGACCGAAGCCACCAGACCAGGGAGGCCCTCGCCTCCAGAGGCAACTGAACCGTCCGGTCCAGCAACAAGGGGGACTTGTCCCACAGCGACAAGATGGACCTCTGCAGAACCCAAGTGTGATGCTGAGCGTAAGGGACCGCTTCGAAGGAAGCCACCATGAGGCCCAGGACCAGCATGCAAGACCGGATCGTTGACCATCGACGTGTCCGCAGTAGCGTCGCATGAGAGCGAAGCTTCTCGGGGGGGTAGAAAAACCCGTGCCGAGGTGGAGTCTAGAATCAGCCCCAGATACTCCAACCGAGTGGTCGGTACCAGGCAAGACTTCTGGAAGTTCAGGAGCCAGCCGAACTCCCCCAATGACCGAACGGCGATCGCCAGATCCGCCACCAGAGAGGAATGCGACTCCGCCTTTAGCAGGAGGTCGTCCAGGTACCCCACCACCGAGATCCCCCGACAACGCAACAGGGCCAAGATGGGGGCCAGCACCTTGGTGAACACCTGGTAATGGTCGTCCCCCACCGCAAAGCGAAGGTAGCGTTGGTGGGAGGTACAAACAGGAATGTGAAGGTAGGCATCTTTGAAGACACGCCACCACAGAGCGGATCGATTCCATCCATTCCACCACCCCTTGGGACAAAAGACCCGCCACCGCGCCATGAAGGTCCGCCAAGCGCTGTGGGGGAAGACGGGTGTTGGAAGGAAAAAACCTGTCCTCGGGACGTGACAGAAACTCTATTTTGTAGCCCGAGGACACCAATTAATAGCGCCGGTGGACCCCCCACCCAAAGACCCCACAGGCACCAAGGGAGACTGGGAAAGGGGCACAGAAGTACAGGCCGCGCAAAGGGGGGGACGTGGGAGATGTCCCTGAAGAGAGGCCGCAGCCCTCACAGGGCACTGCGGACAGACCGTCCCCACAGTCCATGTCCCCGGTAATATAGCTGCTAAACTAGGGCCACAAGCAAGGCAAGGGAGTCCCCAGCAGGCACCGCCCCCCACCGCTTTTGTCCCCAGCAATCGACCCCCCGCAGGCAGACGACCCTCCTACAGTAGCTGACTCTCCGTGTCCCAGTGCGTCCTCACCCGACCGCGTCCCGGCGTGAAAGACCGAGCCGGCCGGGTGACGCGCTATTACGGGGACCGGGAAATGGCGCACCGGAAGTGACGTCACGAAGAGGGCGCACGCGCCCACAACAAAGTATTTCAAACTAGGACTTCCTTACCTCATGAGCCTGATCATAGATGGAAGATCCTCCACAAGAGTGTGATTCCTCCTGAATAACTGAGCCCTGGGAGTTTTGGAATAACTGAACCAGTCTCCAAATTTCTTCACAAGATCAGGCTGGCCACTTGCATTAAATATATCACTGAAGTACCTGTGGAAATGATTGCAGGGCATTATGATACTACAAATCCCTTTCCACTAAGCATATTCTTCAGAAAACGCCACTTTTGCACAGAAAAACACAACCCTCCCTAGATCAACAATATACACCGAGTGGCTAGATTATTATGACCACCCCATCAGTACTTCGTTGGGCCGCCTCGTGACTCCACGAGATGTTGAAAGGTGATGCGAGGAATCCGACACTGCACTGTTGCCCTTCTGTTGTCTTGTACCAGTCTTGCCACTCTCCGTTCTGCCCTAACATTGACTAGTCGCTGATGGCCACAATTCGCATGTTGAGACCCAGATTTTCGGCTGACAGTCCAGTCTTTAAACACTTTAACAGCAGCTGCTCTTGAACATTTAACGAATTCTGCTGTTTTGCTGATACTCGCTCCATGGCACAAGCGCCAACAATCATCCCACGTTCAAAGGCTGTTAAATCGCGTTGTTTACCCGTATCTTCAGAAACAAATCACTTCTACTGTCGTGGTAAACAACCTGCTTCCCTATTTATAATGGTCTGGCCCTCTAGCAACTTCAGCGCCAAATTATAGCTAATTTGCCTACAAACGTCAGGTGGTCATAATAATCTGGCCACTCAGTGTACACTGGAAGGATTTTAGCAAAAAGTCAATTTCAATAATTTCTTCCTTACCAAATGTTAAAAGGGAAGAGTCTACCTGCTATAAATCACATGATCAGTCCTATCATTGTATTAACTGAAAAACTGCTGGGGAAAGCACCATAAACCAATATTAATCAATCACAGCGAAAAATTATATTGTGGGAGGCATTCTGCGCATACAGTTAGTTGCCACAATTGCAAGGTACATGGCATGGTGCTGAAATGTGGCTTCCACATATATTTGTTAATGTATGCAACTAAACCCTCTGTTTTTAACACGAGTAGTTGACACAGATTTAGGTTTTCATTTTTTTGGCTAACTAGCTTGAAAGTTTACTGTTTTGTATATTGCCTTATATTAGCACAGTTTTGTATATTGCCTTGCCCCTTTCCCTGTTTGCTAGCTTCAAACAGATGAGTTTGTCATCTTTGCGTGCTTGGTGCAGACACACACTGGAAATCTTCTGCTGCCTAAAGTGCACATAAAACTGGCATTGTCTTTTAACTTAAAATGATGCAAGTATACCAGTGTGTACTTACGGAACATTGTAACTCGGCCAGTATGAGGTCTGGTACAAGAGATCTGATTTATCAGCCCAAGTGATCAATCCTCTGAAAAAAAAAACAATACAACATTAGACAAAACAATTTTCCTTGCATATAGAAGAAAAGGGTTATAGAAAGTATGAGGAGGAAACGACAATACGAACACATACAAATGTTTGCAGAAAACTGGTAAAATAGCTCTAGACTGGTCTATAGACTCTGCCTTGTCATTATTGTTTCTCCCTGCCTGTTTTCTGTGCAGCTTAGTGTACAATCCTGACTCACGTGTGGGGGCATTGCATCATCCCAGGCCAGCAAATCAAGATGGCCAAAGACAACGAAGACCAGTAGACTATAAAAGTGCTGGCGGTGAGGGGGACTGCAGCTGTTCCTTCACTGGAGATGGCCATTTACAAGTTAAGCGTGACAATGTGCAAATATGCAGAGCATAAGTGCACATTATGGCAAAAGCTCCTTTTGTAAGAAGTTTATTTTGTTTTAATGGATCCAACAAACAAGAGCGATATCTATATATCTGGTGTGGCATGATTTAAATCGACATGCAGAGTTGGTGACCACTGTGGATAATTATCTTACCAAAGGAATTACATGTAAAGATAAGACTGGGCCACAGGTTATGAATGACAGAAATGGATGGGTTATGGAAAACCAGTCACATGGGGGGAGTATTGGCAAATGGTATCGATGAGTCAAAGTATCGTTACTCGGTCTTGAAAAAATGGTATTGGTGCACCAGGACACCATGAAGATCCCTCCTCCCAGCAGCTGCCCCTGCAATAATTTTATATGCCAGGTGACTTCATCACAGGGAGCAATAAAAGCAGTTTCTCACTACAGGAACAAGGTAAAAAATAAAACAAAAAACTGGGACACTATCCAGAGAGGGAAAGGTTGGTGAAAGTATTTGACTTAGGCAAATTTACCTAGTAGCATGTTAGAAATGTACAAAGTGTTGCCATAATAAAATCCATTTTTCATAGCGCCAGTTCCGGGTCCAGTGATCAAAGGGGAAAATCGGCAGCTGGGAGTGTGCGGATCTCCCTCCGATCAAACAGGACAGACCTGCTGTGCTGGTCCCGTGGATGAGGAAGAGGGGGGGGAGCACACTCCGCAGCACCGTACAAGCTGTATAGCTGCTGGATCATACAGTAGAAACGGTCGCACGCCTTCCATACACTTTGCGTTTTCCCGCGATTCTCGTACAGTGTATGGGCACCTTTAGAGATATCACATTTTATAGATGAAGCAAGGATGCAATCTGACTATTAGGAATAGGAAACAATAGAACCTGAACTTACGGGAGCTGCTCTAGGATGGTTAGGAGTCCACTAGGAACCTGTGTTTCACCTGGACTGAACTTTTTGTAATCCACCACCATCCACTGGTTGTTGTAGCTAAGAGGAAATCATATAGGACAAAGATTTATAGAAAGTTATTAAAAACATAAATTGCAACAAAATTCAACAAGATCTAAAGCTCACTTCTTCATCATCTGTAAATTACTCAAACGACATTACAAGATATAGGATACATTTTTCCAACTGGAATGCATAGGACAGTCATGCGCAGTAACTCATGACAACCACAATTTCAGCAATTTCATATAATCAGATTAAAGTGGCAAAACTTTTTTAAGATTGGGACAGAATGTGAAAGGGTTGGCACAACTGTCCGTTTTTTTATTGCTGTAGGAGGAGACTACCCCATTACACGATCAGTTGTGATGACCATTGCCTCCTTTAGAGAAAAGGAATGGAAAGCCAACAAGTTTATGTCATCACAGAAACAGGAAGCAATGGAAAATATTCCAATATTACAGTGAGGAAACTTGTTCTAATGACAGAAGTATAAAGGGACATATCCCCCGTGCACTGGAGAAAGCTCTTCTTCCTTCCTGCTGTGTCACTGGGGCAGGAATAATAAAAATAAAAACCTATAATGACAACAGCCGTTACACAGTTCACTCGGGTGCACCCCTGGTACGCTTACACAGGGTTCATCTCACTGATGCAAGTTTTGAGCAGGTGAAAGCCTTTGGAGTGCTGATCTGCTGTGACACTACTTAGTATCCATTTAAATCCCACAAACTCCGCATTGAATACAGGCAAACTACAAGAATTCAAAATGTCACATAAGTAACATTACTGAATTGGCCTCGGGGAATCAAGTGATTGTTTTACTACATTGTTGGCAGGTTCCCTTTATTGTACTTGTCTACTTACGTTCCGCTATTAAACTTGCTGAAAAGATCAGCCCACTCCTGCCCTCCTGTTGCCAGCCTGTTTGCTACAATATTTCGCATCCACTCCAGAACAGAATTTGTAGGCGTGATATACTTCCACAGATCTGGATTACTGTTGCCAATGGTCGTCTCCAAGCTAACCTGTGAAAAGAAGGAGCACAATTTTAAAAATCTGGAAGAAAAATGGTCATCCATCCTAAAATATTACAGTTCTTCCTCTTCCAGCACGTTAAAAAACAGAGCCTAGGGCCCATTCACACCATACTGCTAAGCTAAATGCACGGTATGCTACCGTGTGGAACTGCGCACTAGGTGCACAGTGAGAATTCACCTCCTGGTGGCCGTGCATTGTGGTGAAAAAAAAAGTAGTGTATGCACTACTTTTTTGCACTACACAGTATTGCAGTACCAAGCATTGCACTACAACGTACGGAAAGAGATGATTTGGGGGTGCCATTCAAAAAGATGGCAACGCAACACACCAAGTGCACAGTCCAGCACACTAGCTGCACTGCAAGAGACTGTGCATTTAGTGCATCACTATGGTATGAATGGGCCCTAAAGGGCTTGCTCACACCATGTCCGTTTAGCTATGTTTTTCTGCACAGCACCACACATTTATTGTGTGAACACAGCACATGGAAAACAATTGTTTCTCTCCAAAGTAGAGAAAATTAATTTCTATGGAGAGCCCATCCATGTCTGGGATGCAGAACAGCCTAAGAAAAAGGAAGTCTCAAGTCTCATAACAATAATATGGGCCTCCAAAGCTGACCTAATGACCTGAACATGCAAGTCCCTGTCTTAAGATCTATTAGTTTTCCTGTATTTCTTGATAAGGAGGCCTGATTTAACTTGCTGCATTAAAAAAAAAAAAAAAAAAAAAAAAAAAAAAAAAAAAAAAAATTTTC